ATGGGAACTTCTTTCTGCACCTCTCTATTTTCTTATTGCTCTCACATATAATATTATATCTCTATTTTACCCTTCAATTAAATTATATTAAAAACTCTAATTGACTAATATCATTTATTCTTCCTCTTCTTCTTCCATGAGCAGAGCGTTGCCCTTCCCCATTAGCTTTTCATTGTTCTTTCTCAAAATTCAAGAACCTTTCTTACCAGACTCCTTCTTTCAACTACATTTGAGTTTAAGAAGCTCTCCTTACCATTCTCCTTCTTTTATCAGTATGCGTCCTTACACCTTACCCCATTTTCAGGATAGGATTTGGATTGTTTATTACTAGTGTCTAGACATGTTAGTGTTTGGCTAGGAAGAAGAAGATGTCCTAAGAGCCCTTAATAGACTCCATGAGCTCACAAAATGAAATTGTGCTTCCAAATTACAAAAGACCTAGTTTCCTTCAAGAAAACTTGATTAAATAGAGCATTTTGACACATCAACAAAGCCATCGCTCAACGTTTAGGCTTTGACGATCAACGCCAGCCTTTGTGGTAGCCCTAGATGCTCTCTAGAAGTGTGGCGCTCAGCGGTGAGAAGTGACGCATAATACTGGAAATCCTAAAAGCTCTTTGTAATTACTTCACTTAAAGCTAAGAGGTGGCGCTCAATGCCACCTAGGCTTCTAAACTTCCACCATTTTATTGATCTTCTTGCTTCTTCGGGTCACCAAAGTTATTCGATGTGGCAGAAGATCTTCCTAACACAAAACTATATACAAAAAGAGAGGATTATAGTTATATTACACAAGTGTGACCCAAAATAAGAGTATTTACAAAAATTTAAAAAAGTGAGGATTTAAGCATGTAATAAGTTAAAGGAGAACTTATTTTGTTACTAAAATGAAGCGCAATAAATGGTAAAAATTATCATTATCAAAGTTCTCCCACTCTTCCTCGGGTCTTCTCTTCCATTCATGGTGATTTCCTACCTTCTAGGGATTGACAAGAAAATGGGCTACAAATGCGAGATGTGAATGCAAATGGGAAGCATATGCAGCTTTGAACAACTGCTTGATGTCTTAGAAAAGAGTTTTCCTCTTCATTTTAGTTCCGATTTCTTATCTATTTCTCCTCTATTTGTAAACCCTAGGTTCTCTACCTTGGAGAGTCAACCCTATTTGTTGAGATTAAATGTAATGAACTAAATTATTGTTTATTTTTGTGTTGTTAATACATGTATGTATGTGTGTGTGTATATGTATGTGTGCATATATGTATATATACATGTATGTATGTCTGTGTGTATATATGTATGTATGTATGTATGAATGTGTATATGTATGTATGTCTAATTCAACTTAGTATTTGAATTTTGTGTTGTAGTGACTTTACAACCAATCGTTTGTTTGTTGGTTCTTGATGTATTGAAAAATGTCTTTTGACTCTAAACTGAAATTGTATACCTAACGAAACTCGTATCTAAAGATAAAATATGTTTTCTTAGTAATTTTAATATTCTTAAACTTGATTCATTGTTGCTTGTTGAGGACTAAATAAATTAGAATTTATGAGTTGAGGCTCAAAATGGCTAATTGTAGGATTTGAGTAATGTTATGAGTTTATTTTATTCTGAAATTAAAATTGAAATCTATGTAAATATACGATAATGTAATAAATAAAATATAGTAATGACATGTAAGTCCTACAAAAATGAGTTTTTGGAATAATACATTGTATAATCCCTTTTAGTATTCAAAAATTAGTTTTATATTATGCAATATTAGAAAATGACCATTAAACTTTACCATTCAAAAATTTCTTTTTATGTGAAAAATATTTTCAAATTACGTAATTTAGAATACAAATTATACAATTTAGAATTGATTTATATAAAAGTAAGTTAAGAATTATTCATTATAAAAGTTTTCTATACAAAAAATAGTCTTAATTGTGCATTCTTAACAAATGTTTTACAAAAAAAAAATAGACTTTTAAATTGTATTATGTTAAAAGTTTTTTTTATGAAAAATAAGACTTTTAAATTCTGTAATATAAAAGTAAAAACAGATTTTTTTTTTTTTATTGTACAATGCAATCCAAAAAGTTTACCATGTTGCAAAATGTAGATTTTTTTTAAATTCTGTATTTTTTTTTAAGAAAACGATAAGATTGTGTTACCTAAAAGTCAAACGATTGCATAATTTAAAGTCAAAAATACCTTATGAAAAAAAAAATCAGTTAAAAGATACTGTTGATATTTAAATTTGCAAAATCCGTAAAAAAAAAGTTAAATCAGAAGAATAAAGTGCGAATTTTTCATATTTTTGAATGTAAAAAGAAAGCATGGAGGAGAGAAAGAAATTTTCTATTATTAAGAAAAATAGACGGACCCACATTCCTAAAAAATAAAATTCCAGTGGTTAAAAAATCTAATTTAAAAATCTCTAAATTTAGTGTAAAATTAATTCTACACTATCAATATACTTCTTTCGTCACGTATTACTAAAGATAGAGTCTCATATTTTCATTCATGAATTTGCTCGTTTACTCAATATTTTTCCCGTGGAGTGTTACTTTGTTTGGATTAGAATAAATCAATAACTTCATTTTATATATATATATATTGTAAACTAATTTATTTTGATAACATTCTCACCTTTTTTGTTACTATTTTTCTAAAAACAAACGACATATTTATAGTAAAAATATACATTTACAAAGTAAACAAAGTTAAATGTTGTATAATAGCGTGTAAAAGAAAATCGTTGAAAAGATAAGAAATTTCAGAGACATAACATAAGGCATCTCAATTAGATGAGTGATTGGTGGTCAATTTAATTTTCAGTGGGAACACCAAGTGGATTCATCAAAATGGTTTTGACCATAAAAGAGAAAATGATGCACTTTAAGTGTTAGTGATTGGAGATATAAATGGTCAAATGGAGACAGCTATGGATGTTTGACAAATAAATTTGACATTTAAGCATTCATCAATAACAAAATGAAATTCTTTCACATTGCATTGTCTTCTTCTTACTTCTACTCTTTTAATTATAACCAAAAAGTGTACACTTTTTTTGTTTTTCCTCCAGCTCTGTAATTTTTATTTTTTAAATACATTGAGTGTAAACTGAAATTTTGATCTTTTGTTTTACTTATTCTAATCACACACACAATCACATTTCATGGTACTTTCTCAGTCCCAATTGCACAAAATGTATGGAGACAAAAGTTATCATTAAATTTCATGAATCATATAGTCACAAAAATTTAGATCCACCATTTGATAACAATATAAATGAATTATGTCATTTAATTCAGACTTAATTAATAATTTGTTCTTTATATTTATACATATTTTTTTTATCTCTTTTATTAAATTAGTGTTAACCACATTAGAAAATAAAACTTATGTCATTTTTCTTCTCAAACTCTTTATTTTCTTTGAGACGACACAATTCCATTATTGATCTTATGACATCTACAACCATTATCATCTTGACACAAATTTGATAAAAATGAATAATAAATATTAAATTATTAATTAAATCTATAATTTATTTGGTATTGTTTAACAATAAGTGTCTTAAACATGTAGAGGAAGCTTTAGAATGTTAATAAACAAATTGTGTTTGTTTGATTCAATGTTATCTGTTATTTAGTTGTGTATAAACTTCATGTCATTCTTAAAACTTAATCAATAATTTAGTCTTCTAATTTGTTAGTTTGATTTATTTTGATCTCTTTATTATTTTTTTTGTTCAATTTAGTCTTTTTATTATTTAAATTAAACATTTTAAAAATCAATAAATTAAATTGAATCCAAAAATAAATAAAAAAACACCAAACCATCATACTAAACAACTAACTAATTAATTAAGTCAATTTTTAATAAGTGAAGTTGTCCTTATTCAATAAGGTGAGCTAAATGAACAAATAGATAATTCATAAAAACAAAAAAGGTGGGGTCAATTCAAGTTGTTTTCATAACTTAGCCAAGGCAATGTAGGGCCTGGACACCTCTATCCACCTTTTTGAAGTATCACTTTTTTCTTCTGCACACTGCTGTAAAGTTCACCAATTTATTAGGTTTAATTTTCATTACTTACAAAAAAATCAGTTTTCTTACATAATGAATCTTGGCGAGATTGGTGCACATACCTATTTTTCTACGACTAATGGATGTTTTGACTCATTACAGAACAACCAAATCCATCGACTCTGTTTATTTATACTTCATACTTATTTCATTTCCTTCAAAATAAGGAGAATTTGACTTTTCAGAAGTCATCTGACAAAAAGAGAAAGATCCAAACACCACTTTTTTTTTATGCTTGGGTAAAATCTAAGAGGAAGAACAGTAACATGGTTGCTCTGCAAATTGTGAATGATTGGGGTAGTACGTGTTACTAATCATTTTCAAGTAATTTTCTATATCAGTAGATGTGGTTAATTTTGCATGTCTGTCCTTGGACTAAATTAGAGGACTTTTTGGCCCAATTCACATGAAATGAAATTATCAAAAGTTGCTGTGGAAATTATAGTTTACATTTTTCTTGTTTAAAGTTTGGAAACTAAAAATAGTTTTAAAAGAATGGAAACCGAGATCCAATACAGACTTTGAAAATTGTTTTAAGGACAATCCACTTAATTAATGTTGACTGATGAATACATGAACGCATCATTACACACTTTTAGGCGAATGAAATAACTCTAACCACTGTTTATTTAGATTGGTTTTAGCTATGAAGCAGAAAGCAAGAAAGACAAGAGAAAAATGAAAGGAAAGAAAAGTACAAAAGCTGCAGACATGATACTTTATACATGCAATAGAAGAGGGTAACGATGAACACCGTTTGTTCTTTACTTTGGCCAATAGGACTTAACCAAAACAAATGATTACATCTGGTTCACGAGAGATCAGAGCAGAAACCTGAATCACTCATTCTGTCCACCACACTTAAAAGGAATGCATGCAAGTGTTTCTTTTTATTAAGCCGTTGAGGCATAACCATTCTCATTCATTCAGCAGCAACTAAAGTACAAGGACACATTCAAGAATCTTTCTTACAATTTTTCTTTCTCAACACAGCAAGGATTCCATTTGCTGAGGCATAGCATAAATTAAGCCAGCACATCTCTGCAAATGCTTGCTATACATGTAAATCAAATCATATATATATATATAAAGATGGGACTAAATGATCTTGATATTTAGCCCACAACACTAATATCCCTCTACTATACTCCGGTGTAACTAGGTTCTTTGACCTGTAATATTCTTACTGAACATTATTCAAAAGGTACTCATTTAAGGGTTGGTTAGTAGTTGAACTGCCTTCCAGTGTAGGTCTGCCCAAAGGACCAACCAGCTGGAGCAACATTGTATGACACCACACTGTGTCCGTTGCCAGTGGTAACTACAAAGGAAAGGCTTTGGCCATTCAAGTAGGAGTTGCTTTGCCAGTTTTGCCCCCAGTTCCTAGACATGGCTTGCCATCTGGTTCTTGACCCTTTGATGGACACAGAATGCACATCACCGGCACCTCCAACATTGGTCACAAGGACTAAATTGAAGTAAGAGTGGCCATTGATGGTAAACCTGATTCCACCCTTTCTCCTGCATCTCACCCTTCAAAATCCATGAACAAAAAAATCTCAGCTTTAAACTTGACATCGACATAGTTTCGTTTGTGGTAAAGAAAAAATGAGAATAAATGTTATAGTTACCTTCTGTATACTACAGGAACAATTCCGGCCCTATATTGAGCAATGTGCTGGAAAACAGGTTGAGACAGATCAAAGTGGTGTTGGGGAGGGTCACACCAACCACCGGGTGGACAGAAATTTGTGGCAGTGACAACGATGGATCCAGGAAGACACCATTGTGGGTCATTCACACATTTGATTTCAAAGCATGCACCACAGCTCAGACCATTGTTGAACAGTGCAGTGCTCAGTGCTGTTGTATCGGTTCCATAACCCTGGCTATACAGATTTCCATAACCACAGGCCCCTCCTGCAATTTGAGAGATATACACGTTACTGTACGTTGCTAAAGCTAAGAAGCTAAAGTATACACTTAGGGTAAAAACGACAGTGTGAGTTACATTTGTGCAGAAAAACATACCCATTGTCCCAGAAGCGTCACCTCCTCCATAGAAAGTGGCGTGTGCATTGGTCCAACCCCCGTAGCCCTTGACATGTGACACCATGTAGAAAAGTCCCAGAAGAAATCCAAGAAGAGCCATTTCCCTGCATAAACGAATCATTGGAGTATGAATAAGTGAGGATTGTACAATAAATTCTGATTATTTAGAAGTAGGTGAAGAGGTAGAGTAGTTAATAGTGTGTAAAAAGTGAAAGAGAAGATGAAAAGAGAGTGAAAAGGAAGAGAATCAGTTCAAAGAAGCTGAACCTTGAAGGAAGTTGTTTGTGGAAATGGAAGGGGAAATTGGAAAGGAATAAATAGAGGAGAGTCAACATCAACCTGACAGACAGATAGACACATTTGAGCTGTTGGGACCATGGAAATGCTGAAAACTGTGAGAGAGCAAGGGATCTAGGGAATCTGGTTTGTGGAAAACTATGCTTTTTTAACGGGAATGTGAAAGCAGTTTCATACAATTCAAATGGAATTCGAGTCCACTATAGGAGGCTATGGATTTAAGATCTTCTTTTCTTCATACTAAACTAACTTGCAAATTGCCTGCAAGAGAAAAAAACACACACACACACAAGTTTTACTGCAGTAGAATTAGTCCAAACAAGTCACAATCTGTTTCGGAAAGCAAAAGTTACCTTATTTCCAAAGCCCTTTTTTCTTTCACCTGAAGCCTTTTCAGAAATGAAACAATAAAATCTTTCTTGTGGAAAATGACAAAACCTCTTTAGATGAAATTTTTGTCATCCGAGAATGAAAGCATAGATTAGCTTGTTAAAGTATAACACCTGATCCTGAAACTGAACATGTTCCACTTATAAAAAGATAAAGTGATGAATTAAGTTTTTCTTATAAATTATAATTATGCATAAATTAAAGCGAGTAAAATTTATTTTCTTATAAAAGTTAAAGTTCATGAATTCATTCTAATTGTTACATTTTTGTGCTTACTTTTTCATGTATTAATGCCAGTTGACAAGTTTATCCTATCAGTGTCTAATTATGTACTGATACCAGAATTCAAGCCATTAAATGTAAGGAATAGTTACTAATGATTACAAGGGGAAAAAATTCTCTGAAATTACTCTTGTTTTGTCTTGAATTATTAGCACAATTTGATGCATGGTAATAAATGTCACCCAAAGTGTCAATGAATAAGTGGTGGTAAAAATTTGAGTATGACTATTTATCAGATAACAACAAAGATAACGTTCTTATGAGTGGCATTTACACATTGGATGCGAGGAAAGGCGTTTGTCAACTTTAAATTGCAATATGACAAAACCACAAACAGTGCAAACAGTGCATTTGATTTGCTTCTGTTATCCTCAGTTACCAATGCAAGAATCCCAACTTCAACCTCAGCCTTACATTCATTCAGCTTCAATGATTTTTCTTCATTTTAGCATCAAGAAGCAATTAATCAAGATGCAGCAAACATAACCTACAGGGTACGATCATAATCAATATATTATATATACATATGTATATATCATCATAAATTCATAATCTGTTTGAAAGATAAGAAATCCGTATATATTGTACCTTTAACCTGTGTGCTGTGGCCTAATAGAAGAGGCCATTACTCATCCAGAATCTGCAAAGACACGATGTTTGGCTGGCATGCATGCAAAGTTGCTTAGACATTAAATACAAACATGTGAAATTTATTCATATCTGCAGACACAAGTACCTACTTAATTGCCACACACCACAAAAGCATTAAGCCTAAAAATGAAACGCGTTGATGGGTTAGCTCATGTTTATTCCAAGTGTAGAAGTTACTCGGTGTTAGTCTGAATAAAGCATGGTTACCCAATGCCATGGTTAAGCAATAAGAACCCTATACTGTTTGGGATATGCATGTAATGCAATGTAATTAATGTATCCATAAGATGATAGTTAAATAAGCAAAAAGAGAGGTTTTAGGTTGGCCATTGTGATTCGTTCATTTCGTCGGCAGAGGATCACATATGAAGTGGGGTCTAACTCATACAATCTTGCTATTTTTTCACATGGCAAGACAAACCCTTCTTGCCCTACCACACAACCTCAACTTTATAGGATCTTTTTTGACGTTTATGTGTGCATCTTGTAACACGTTCTCTCTTGTATACTTCCTAAACTTTATCTACAATTCACAGTCTATAAATAACAATCATACTTTAATACAGATTCTTTTACAATATTTTAAGACCGTACACATATATTTTTTTTATTAGGTTTAAAATGTGTTAATACAAGTTGAACTTTAAGTCTAATTCAATCCTACAAATATATATATATATATATATATAAATATCGCTAAGACAGACTTTAATCATGCTCTGATATATGTTAAAAAATGGACTTTAAACATAACTTAACTCCACAAAATCGGTTTGTAAGGTGATGTTTTACACCTTACTTATATATTATAATTAGTCTTATCTTTAATTCATGTAAGACTTCCAATATATGCCAACACAACAACAAATTGTGGACCAATAAAAAATGACACTTTGTGTTATATCAAAATGTTGTAAAAAGAATTTATATCAAAATATCTTTTTTCATATATAAATGTAATTTTATTTTATAAATTAGTAAAATCTATCTTAAAAGTATGATAAATATGTTAAAAATCTTATATCGACTAAAAATAAAATTAATTAATAATTTATGATTAAATATAAATCACAATTTACAAGCTGTATTTAATTTAGGGGTAAAGTTTCATAGCTCTTAACCTATACTCCTTTAAAGTTTGGAAAATATATTGAGAAAAAAAAATATATTACATCTTGGAAAGATAAATAGGACTTATAATTTTTGTTTGGCATAAAGAGCATTGAGAAGTTATAGAATAATTGCATGCATAGAAGTTTGCTAACAATATTTATGATTGGAATTTAGAGGAGCTTTTTGTCCCCTCTCATGAATATAGTAACGATCCAATAAGTTCCCTATATGTGTGATATGCTTTGATATTGTTGATAAAATATGAAGATGAGTGAGTTTGATTTGTTGCCATAATAGTATAGAATGTGTAACAGGGCTTGGCTGAGTGTCGGTTAAAGTCATTAAATAATGTGAAAGGACACTTTTTGTTAATAACGTGAACTTTTGGTAATCACTGTTTAGAGCACGTGAAAGCCTTAAATAAATCACTGCTTAGTAATTAATAAGCCTTCACATTGATGCAGACACATGCAACTTTACACCTATAATATATATTTTCCATCACTTTTTATTATTATTATTGTTGTTATGCCTTTGATTCAACTACACACCAAGTCTCTTCAATGGTGGATTTCTTGTAAAATTATGTTTCTGCTTTAATTAATATTATTATTATGGTCAGTAACTCGTCTATGCTTCTTGACTTTCTCTCAGTACAATATATATTTCCTTAGTCATGTGCAAAAAATAAAATAGAATAAAATAAATATATTTTTACATATCTGATTGTATGGATCTGAACGTTGTTAGTTTTGGGTATTTTGAAAACTTTTACTTGTTACTAAATTAATTTGAATTTGCTAATTAATTTGCCTGAATCGTTAGACAAAAGGAATTGTTGCCACTCTTTAATGAAACAATTTATTTATTTATTGTTAAATCAACAAGAGACAAACATAGCAGGAGGAAGAACGATATGTTGCAGGTTGATTGAGACTATGAAATAAAATGCTACAAGTGAAATATCAAATATTCATAATAATGTTAAATATTCAATATTAAAAAAATATTAATAATTTTTATTTAACTTTAAATATTAAGAAAAAAATATAAGTATATGAATACTCAATCAGAGTACTAAATAGTAATTGAATAAAAGTCAAATAATTATAATCATAGTAAAAATGAAAAAAAAAATGTATTAATTTGATAAAATTGAAGAAAAATATAAGGTTGAATGAAATCACATAAAAGATTATGATTATGATAAGAGAAAAAAATACTTTGAAAATTTGAGTACAAATTATGGATATTGGATGAGTATGAGTCAGGTAATTTTGAGGGAATAAATTTTGTTTTAACAAAAAAAAATGCGTGTATAAAGAAAAATAATAATTAAGAATCAAATAGAAAAATATGAGTTTATTTATGTTATTCAATAAACTAATTTTGGTTTATTGAATACTTGAAATTTAGAAATAAACATTCTTATGAGAAAAAATAAATAATAGGCAAAAACGTTAAAAAAAGTATAAACTATTAAATGAATGTCATGAAAATTATTTTATTTAATGAAATTGATGTTTTTGTTTTATAAAATACAATACTCAAATTGAATGAAACAACAAAAAGAAAAAAAAAACATGCAATTAAAATTGTGATAAAAAAAATGTAATTAAAATTGTGATAAAAAGAAAAGGAACTTAGTGAAATCGAGTAAACTTTGTGAATTTTAAATAAATAGAACAATTGAGTGAGGATAAAAAAAATTATTGCGAAAGAAATTAAAAGGAAATGTTGCTAAAATAATGACCAAATATAAGTGATTTAGGTTGTTTAATAAACTACGAGATTTTTATTAATTAAATTTAAAGTTTCTCATAAGTTTGTATATTTTAAATTGAGCCTCTATTAATATTTTTTTCAATACGGTACTCAATTATTTTTCAATTGAGTTTCTACTATTTAATTTTTTTTATTAATTGTGTAATGTAATTATTATCTTTCCTTCTCAATTTTTTTTTCTAAATATTAATAAACATAAAATTTTGTGAATATTGTTGTTAATGTAAAATGAAAACTACCTAACAAATTGCGCTATATTAATTATAAAATCTTATATTTCTTAACATGAAAAAAATAATAAAACAAGATGAAAAAAAAAAGATAACAGTCATAAAAAATAATAACTCAATTAAAAAATATAATATTTTTAAATACCTAATAGAAAAAGAATTAAAAAATAATTTAGCTGGAAAAAATACAAATTTATAAATAACCTAAAACTTAATTAAATATTTTATTAATTTAAAATAGAACGAGTATTAAAATGTATTTTTTACATTCAATTTAAAAAGTTGAATTTTACTCCTATTTACTATCATTATAGTTAATTAATATAAAAGAAAAAAAATCATAAACCTTAGTATCAAAGACACTCTACAATTCACTTTTGTAAACTATTCATCTTCATCATTAGCAATTAATTGCTCGCTCGTTACTTTTGCAAGACATCAACACAATCTCTTTGCAAACACGCTGTGATGTTTATACACAAAATCTCAAATTTATCAGAACAATGATATATTATTCGCACATTTTTTTATAATATTTAATATAATAATATACCTGTTATTTTTTGTTGAATTTAGAAAATACAATAATAAATAAATAATGAACAGTAAAAGAATAATACGTATATTATATTAAAACGTTTAAAAAAGATTGTTTCAAAAATATATTTTTCCAATTTATTATTAAGTTAATTTATCTTGCACCCGTGACTCCAAAAAGTGCAAGGAGTTACTTTTTGCTTGAGGTAACCCCCAATACTTTACAATAGAAGTATACAGAAAATATCTACTCACAGAATTATTAAATAAACCTAAATAACAGACTATTTAATCCGGTCAAAGTTACTGAATTAGTGAATTAGTTTAAACAATTAAAAAGGTAATTATTTTCATTCACTCAAATCATTTAAAATATTATACAATTTAGTTTTAATTTTATTCTAATCATTTTTAAAAATTAGTTCACTATTATAATAATTTAATTCAATTCATATATTTTATTCATCTTTCATTATGTTCCTATTGAATCAGAGTAAAAAGTTACAAAGCTTTCGCATAATTAAGTGTCATTTGAGGCTAAAATTAACATAAATAGAGATACAAACCTATTTTTATATGTATTACTTTTAATACACAGAGATTCCATTAGTAGCTATTTAATCTTAGTCTTTATCCCAGAAACTTAATTCAAATCAAACCTGGTATTATTATTGTACCAAATTGAAGTATATGAATTGTTAAGTTTTATTATAATCAAGTTCCTTTTGAACCTAAAATCAATAAGAGCAAGAAACACATGCTTCATATATTATTTTCAATATACAATAAGACTCCATGTGACAAGAATGACAGCAATCAATGTCTTGATATCCTAAACTTAATTTGTAGGGACGTTTTATCTTCATTGCCAACAATATGAAGTAAATGAATGGTTAAGCCTTAATAATTCTTTTTGAAGTTCCAATTATTACACAAGAGAAATTACATGTATAAATTGGATTCTTCAATGGAATTAATATACATCTTAACTCACATTGAGATTAAGTCAGTCAAACTTATTTAATAAATAACCCAAAGTTTTAAAAAAAAACCATTATACAAGTCTTCGCTCACTGACATAAAATAAACTTGTGATAATAATTAAGTTTTGGTTTTTTAAAAGGGAAATTATAGCCATAATATGATATGTTTTAGGGTTAAATTTAAAAAATTAGTTTCTAAATCACTATACCATTCTTTACTCAAAATTAGACAACGAATGAATAAATGAATCTTTTACTTTTATATAATGTTTTATTTTTTCATTTCTGTGTGAGACTTAAATTTCCAACAAATCCAACCAGTATTAATGTTAAATATAAGTTTGCAGTTAGATTAGTAAAATGTGGGATCTAAGGTTGTCATAGCAGTTGCTTTCAGAAGTGTCTTCAGCAAAGGGTGCAAACTACGCGTACGATACTATCTATGTCAACACAGCGTAGAGAAGAATCTGATAACCAATGGGTCAGTTTTGCTTTGTTGCAGAGATGCATGGTGATACTACGAGAGAGAGAGAGAGAGAGAGAGAAAGTGCACTGTGGAGTTGTCCCTCTCTGCATTTAAAACCATTATTTAAAGACAGAGACAGTGTACCATCACAATGGAACATGACCCATAATCAAAACATGACCTTGTCACGTACCTTCGTCTACACCTTCGACTCGCACATGCCTATGTGTTCTCTTCTGTTCTCTTCTGTTCTCTTATGCATTACATTCTCTTTTTGCAACTTTTCGCTTCCTTTTTATTTGGGTACAATCAATCGCATTATTATCGTACCAAACTTTCCATGTTTGAGCAAAATTGTGTTCATAAAGTACTGCATTTGGATCTTGGAACTAAAAAATATATAATTAAGAGAATTATATTTCTGATGATCGATCGAAAAATTACATTCTTATTGTGAATTCATTATAAAGATCAATGCCAAATACACGTGTACAGTGTTGAGTACAGACATTCTTGGTTCTTCGTGATTATGTATCTGAGTAATTACAAAAGGTCCTGAAAACTAATTAATCAGCAAATGCAGAAGAAAATAAAGTGCTTCTATTAAAGAACACACAGGGCTTTTCATTTTTTTCTATATGAGGGACTTTAAAACTTGATATTTGTTGATTGCGTGTTAGTGTGTGTGCTTTTTCAGGCAGCTTTAGGTTATATTTCAAATCATTGACAGCTAGACACTTTCCCGTTCTAAATTACAGAACTTTGATGGTTGCAGCACCTGGAAACTGATTGGTGGTAACTTTGACCTCACCGACCACAGCACAAAACCTGGAAGTAGAGGAAAGAGATGGTGAATAATTTTATGAGAATTATCCTTCAATTATGTACACAAATTAGATTAATTTTTTTTTAGTTTCCTTTCCTAAAAGAAGCTGCCACGTTAGTCTCATCTATTCGGTTTTTTAATAGAAAATGTGACCCTTCACTCGCCCTCTCGTGTTCCCAAGTGAATGGACATGCATACGCACATGCACTATCTAGACTGAAATTTATTTAGATATCAATCGCATCAGTTGAAGGATGCGTAAATTGTTCTTTTAACCATATACGCTTCAGGTAGAATGCCTGACAAACTAACTTCATCATTCAAGAGAAAAAACAAAACATTTTTCAACTACTTTGGCTACATAAATTCACATTGTTGTTATACAATCTTCGTAATTAAGCCGATCGCTGTTGACATTTAAAATGATTTTTTTTTTCCATTCTACTTTAATGTTGAGAAGAAGTGGGGAAAATATCCTTGCAAAACGCGAACTATGATTTTGCAGATGCGATGAGCATACAGGGCCCCAATACAATACAAACCCCTCAGTTTCATCAATGGGACAAAACTGAATTGTCCAAAATCCACATGGTGAAGTATTGCGTCATTTGATTTTTGTTAGTTCTAAGTTACCTTAAGCGTAGAAAAATATTTTAACACCTCCAGTCCCAGTGAGTTTTCAATGGAAGGCAAGAATTTCAAAAGAGGGTAAGAGATCAACTATTTCGGAGCTTTCTTCGCAAATTAAATTACATCATTCAAAAACAACGATGATGATGCTGATGAAGTTTCCAACCGAACAACAAATTTATCATACTATCATTCTTCTTCCCCCAAAACCATTTTCCTTTCATTCATGTGACAGTAAAACTGTAAAATGGCTTTCTAAGCATAATAATGTTGACCAGGAGGTGAAGCACCATCAGGTCTTGCATTTGGCTGAGCCCCAGGCTGAACTAATCCTTGAGCCGCTTGGCTGGTCTGCATGATAGGTGAGGAACCAGGAACTGAATGTGGAGCACCACTGGGCTGTAAATTTACATTGGGTGGAACCCCAGACTGAGAGATTCCCATTGGATTTGCATTATGACCAATGGGGCTGCTTTGTGCAAGAGGTGAGGAAGCTGCGGGCATGGCTGCTGCTGGAGCATAAGATGGCATTGGAGGAACGGTACCTGTTTGTACAGGAAAAGTACCAGGTGCAGATATGTAACTAGGTCTAACCGCCTGGAGGGATGGATCCCATGATGGCACTTGGCCACCAGGAACTTGAGTGTGATAAGGAGGAGCACTGCCAGGGTACATGGGTGCAGCCTGTGGATTTTGCCAAGCGGTTGCAGGACCTTGGGCTGGTAGCAGACTAGGATCTGGCACAGTATAGTCTCTACTTTTGTCGCTGAAAGCCTACAACCAAAACGTATTATATAATATAACACTCAGAATTAGGATAATTATTCAACTGTCATCAACAAATTACTATAAAAGGTAGCTCAATCAAGTGTCAAGAAGCATACGTTTAAGAACCAAATCTCTTTCCGATCAAGTGTCCACATTGCTTCTAACGATATCTTTAATTTTCCCCCCTTTTTCATTTTTCCCACTCATGAACATTAACTCAAAAACACATATTTTTATACCTTTACATTGAGATCAGTATGACGAGAGTATGATAGATGAAGCTTACAATAGCCACCATCATATATGCAATGCCCCTCTAGAGCTTCTCTAGCAGCTGCTGCCGTTATGACATCTGCCAAAAAATGTACACCCACGATCAAGACAAAAAAAAAATGCTCATCATGATACAGGGGATGGGAGGGCTAGTATGTACTGCTACCCACCCACTTCCATTCCCTGAAATTACATTTAAACGTGTAGAATGTAATCTATGATGTGGACCCTAATCTGCAGGACTATGACACAAAAGTATGAGTGGAAAAAAATTTATCAAAACAATCAAATATTATATGAAAAAAATGAAAAAGAACAAAGTACTAGTGCAAGGAGTAAAAGTTGAATATGATTAATACCAGGGTACTGAATTAGTGCCTGAGTTTGACCATTCTTTTCAAATATAGCAATTTTCTGGACAGTTCCAAATGCAGAGAAGACCTGTAGAGATTGCCCAATGATGTTTAGACTGTAGAGTATAAATCACTTGAGAATTTGGAAGTTTTACACAAAAGCACAAAATCTTACAGTATGGAGGACATCAACAGTAACAGCATACTGCATATTTTCAATGGAAGCCAAAAGCACATTGCTTTCAGGTTCTTTCCTCTTCCCATCTGGGCCTATAGCCGTCTGAAGAATATATGTTTGTCAGAGCATACAATAGTAAAAGCAGAATGTATTAAAGCATAACACAACAAAATACCTGTACCGTCCCTTCAATAGCAGTATAGTTAACGGGAAGCATAGGATTTGTGTAGTCCCTGAAATGTCATGGGGAAAATAATACTCGTTATTGACAGGAAGACTAGTAAGAAAATAGAAATTTAGCTGTGCACATAGAGAAAAAGTTATGCTTGAATCAATGCTTTACAAACCAATTGTCAACATTAAACATAGTAATTTCGCTAGAGTCAGGAGGCAAGGAACCACAACGTTTCACTGGCAAAATTTTAATTGACAATAGTGGTAAACAAGCCTGTTAAATTTATGTGATAGACTAATAGAGGACACGCTAATTTCACAATACATGCTTATTGATTATTCATTTAACTATGACTCACTAACAATTTCTTGGAGTTTGAGTGTCACTATGTCAAATTGTTTTAACAGAAATGTTCGCCTGAAATTGAGAATATTATGTAAAAAAATAAATTCAATCATAGTGGTCACAAGATTTGGCAATTACAAACTTTCTTAAATTCTTCCTGATATCTAGATTGTGAGCAGGATTAGGAAATAATAATTCAAATTTTGTGCCCCAAGACAAACAAAAAACAATGATTTCAGCTAATATACAGATATTTTAGAAAGTAACACCTCATAGCCAGTTGATCTCAGATGTAAAACAAAACCACTGTTTTTTCAACTGAGAAACTAAAATTACACAAGTAGAAGCTGCTTCCACAACTATAATTATGACCCAGAGACACATTGCAAACTTCAGGGTAGCCTCCAGAGCAAAGATGAAAAACATATTAGATTGACGACAACCACAAATAATTAGTATTGAATTTTCAACACGATATAACAAAACCCACTAAAGAAAAATTTGCCAACACATTTCAATAACATAAGAACAATGGTCTCAATAACATTCACAGTAAATGCATCAACCAGTTGGAAAATGATCAAGAAAATTACTAAGTGGTCATGGCAAGTCAACTGTATCCTGACTACCAAGCTTCAGTAAGCCCTAGAGGATAAAAGCACACGTATCAATTAGCAAAATAGAGAACACCACAAAAATAACATGCAATAGTTTTCACAATTAACTTAAGTTCCTGAGTGGAAGACAGTGTTAAAACAACTAAACAATAATATATGATAATTGTCTTTACTTCAATCATTACCTGCTGCGATTTGATTGGAATTTGATATTCAGATCTTTATGTGCTGAGTATGAAATACGTAAATTACAAGAACCAACATGGGCTGGAAGTAGGTATCTACATACCAAAGCATAAGTGAATCAGCAAAATTATTACTTATCAAACTATAGCCAAATCAAAGATGGGTTTGAAGAATAAAAAGAAAACACACAAACACTTCTTGCCTTGGTATGCTTCTTCCATCCAGTGCATCCCTAGCAGCAGAAGCAGTTTCAGCATCAGTGAACTGAATCAGAGCCTGCCATGGCATTAAACATTGTCAACACTACAATTGAATCGGGAAGGGACATATTGAAGTAGAGCAAATGATAATTTACTAACCTGGAAACCTGCAGTCTTTTCAAATGTTGCGATTTTGTGAACAAAGCCAAAAGCAGAAAACACCTGAATAAAGAATAAAGAACTAGTTCATACACCATATTATTTTCACCTTAATCATTATTTGGTTATTCATTAAATGGAAATGTTGGAAGATTATAGTTCAGCAGACAATCCAAAAAACCTTCAAAGATGTTACAATCAAGAGCAATGTCAGGAAGGAAAAATAAGTTCCAAACAGATAAGAAATAAGTGCAGAATGACACCTGTACTTATATGCGTGACGTTAGAAAGGTGTATGACGTACATGACAAATATTCCAAACTGTCTCCAACAAAAGTAACTAAATATGAGAGATCACCATCTGTGGTTCAACCGATTTCAGTAAAAATTGACATATGATTTAATCAGGATTCTGTCTAACTCTAAATAACAAGGGCAAAAGATAAAAGATAGTATTATTAAATGAAAAAAGAAGGAACTGTATAGGAATAACAGGTATTCAAACTTTCTGAACACTACTTCATGCGAAAACTTTGCCCTCCCAAAAAGGAAAAGTATAAGATGCAACTGTGAGAATGAAAGATTTACATAGGACTTCAATGCTTCCCACCGGATAAAGCCAAACAAAAAAATTAAGCAGAAATCAATTTAAACAATGTTTTCACATTTAAAACGATGATATGTAGTAAAAGGTACTGCAATGATCCCACTGGACATACCTTTTTCCTAAAGGTAGTGCGAACAGTGTCTCTGTTTTCAACAGGTTTTCAACTCGAAAACCTCGATCAAATTCAACTATAAGATTTTCCAAAGAAAAATAGTTTATGTCTATAGAAATTAAAGCACATTCAAAATACTCCTTCCACTTTTTTCTATATATCCCATCCCACACTATTTAAACATTTCAAACTTCCTAAATTGGAAAAAAAAAATTACATGATCCAGAAAGAGATACATTTCTGTAAGCTAACCAAACATTGGGATTGTGATTTTTATTTCGCATCATCTAATCAAACAAGAATATTGCAAAATCATACAAACAAAAGTGAACTGGAGAAATGAAATAAAACTCAGTCGCACTTACCAAATGGATAACATCAATGCTTACATCCCCAGCTTCCACACCTTCAATAGTTACCAGCAAGACATTTCCAGGAATATCTCCAGGACTTTTGTTGTTGACAATTTCATGTCTATTAGAATACTGAATGTAAACAGTTTTGCCACGAACCATAGCAGGTTCTGAAGATGAAGCATAATAGGAAACCATTGAAATGGCTTGATTTAGATCTACCTGGCATTTATACTTGAGAGTTCAGTAACCCGAGTAGGAATCATAAAAACAAAGGAACAGCTATCACAACGTAAGAAAACTAAATACATCCTCGACCACTCAGCAGTCATTTAAAATACCAATTAAGATTCAAGAGAAACTAACACATGAACACTATCGAAGAAAAGGAAGTTTAAAGTCCATACAATTTTATTAAATGAAAATCTTAATATTTATTTGCAATATAACATAGGTTCAGTCTAAAATAAGCAAGAAAGCTTCTAAAGAAGCTATCTCAAATAAAATATAATTGAACAGCCATAGTAGTACATGGAGTTAATTCAAGCAACAAGACTTTTGGCTCCACCTAGATACATCATGGGTGTTCCCAAGGGTATGAAGGCAATACCTCTACTATTAATCCTAACAAGCAGTACTATTTGGTCATCACTGGTATCCACAAAACCGACCTCTATGCTAAAAAACAGTATCATGAACATATTTTTTTCCTTTGTCATAAAAAATCTCTCCAAAATTTCACTCCTCGCAAAAATCGTTAACATCTTAACTCTTGGTTTAAGACATTATTAATGGTTTACTTTTTATTAGCCATCCAAACTTTTTGCCCAATCCACTATGATAGAACAGATTGGTCAAATTTATGCATGGACGACAGTGTATAAGTGGATGCAATTGCGATTGCCATTCCTAGGCTAATCGAAGCCGTAATTTTTTAAAATGTACATTAACCAACACATTTATTTCAGAAGTAAAACGAGTGAAAATGAGAAAAAAAATGGATATAAACGAAAGGCCTAATTCTGATATCCTAAGAAAAAGAATGAAATAAAGCACGATAGCAAACAAAGTTCGAGGATTCTAAAAGCCAGAAACGGCTACACGGAGCTGAAGTTCACACGAATCAACAAACGCATGGCTTAAAACCCTAAAATTAAGGAACTATTGAAAACAGTAAGAGGAGAAAGAGGGGAGAGAGAGTTACGAATTCAACAAAAGCCTGGTTGCGATTGGCGCCGACATTGCACTTGGTGTTGACGATCTTACCGAAGGGCTTGCAGAGCTCTTTGAGCTCCTCCTCGGAGCATTCCCAGGGGAGGTTGCGAAGGTGCAGCACCTTCGAGGGGGTCTGAGTGTATCGGAACTGGTGCTGGCTCGAGGTTGACATCGCTTCCAGATTCCGATGGTGGAATCGCGATCGATGAAAGATGCAAGATGCAAGATGCGAGATGCTTGGTTAGGGTGAAATCGGAGCCACCCTTTAGCTTCGTCTGGTTTTGTAGAAAGTGAGGAAATTTTTGCTATCACAATATGTGAAGAATATCTGGGCTGCGATTGTGATTGATTGCGATGCCGTATTTAACCTCCTTAAATCAGACGTATTTAACTACCACCTTGTACAAAATCAAAGAAACAAAACATTTTTTCAAAGAAAATTAAAGAAAAAACTTATAAGACAATAATTAATGTGTTATTCATTCATGAGAAAACTATAAAACATTACATGGATATGGTTGATGTCGTTCTTTTATCTTACATTATCTTTATGATATGTGATACATTTGATAATATATAAATAATTAAAATAAACTTTGGTCAAAAAAATATCCTCTAATATTAATATATATATATATATATATATATATATATATATATTAAATTTCATTTCAGTTTCTATTTTATATATGGGTTAAATATGTTTTTCGTCCCTTAAGTATCACACGATTTTGGTTTTAGTCCCTACTCAAAACTTTGATGGTTTTTAGTCCTCGTAGTTTTGAAACTCTTAGTATTAGTCCTTAAAAATGGATGGCGTTAAATTTTAGTTGATGTGGCAAACGGCAAGGACAGGTTTGATGTCAGCTGTCGTGCCACGTTGATTGTTTCATTTTCCAAGTTGAACTCTACGGTGACCCAGAAGCTTCCTATTTCTGCCCCTCGCCCTCCAGCAGCACTGTCTAGTGGGTCGTTCCTGCTGGGTACACGATGCGAAGCTGTTGGGCCTGATTCACGTTAGTCTCTCGATTGTCCTCTCTCACTCCAATACCTTCCAACACAGTGCTTACCTTGAATGCTTCATTTTAGGAAGATAAAAGAAAGGGTTGAAACCAACACCTTTAGTGCGTCGAAATACTGAGTGATTGTGGTAGAAGTGGGGTGGGAACCAAATCAAAGATGAAGGCGCGGCCCAAAGCGGAGCTGAACTTGCCGATTAGAAGACCCACCTGAAAGTAAAATCGGAGGTGGTAGTTAGTTATATAGATATTTGGGAGAGTGAGAGTGTGACAAAGATGGCATTGGAGAATGTGCCTCCGATGGAAGTGCGGATTGGCTGAGACGATCCTCCGCCAATTTGAGTCGGGTTTCTTCTCCGATCACTGCTTTCGCCATTGCTGATTATTCAATTGTTACTGTCACTAACAAGTCCAATACTTCATAAATCTGAAACACGTGAATCACTAGTTTTATGCTTCAAATTCCGGTCACTTCAATCCTTGAACCCTAACTGGGTTGCCTTGTTTATGCAGGTTCAGACAATGTTTTCCCCTTTTGGTAAACCCTCCAATCAATTTCTGACGTCATCTATTTAACATCTCCAGATTTTAAGAACCACTGTACATTACGATAAATACAATTTTTAATATATAAATTATATTTTTAAATTGATGCTGTGAATTGTTGGATGGGTTTCTTCTCTGGAGCACGATTTAGGGTTGTTGTATTAGTTTTGTCACGGTTGGAGGCGGCTTGCGTTGGTGGCGGCGGCTTGCGCGAGAACGAAGTTGAAAGGGAAGGTCGCGGTAGTGGAGGAGAGGAGGAGAAGAGGGTGGTGAATGGAGGACACTTTCAATCTCAGAAACGTGGCACAACGTGAGAAACGTGGCAGAGAGTGCAGAGCGCAGCTGGACATCGCCGTTTGCCACATCTACTAAAACTTAACGCCGTCCATTTTTAAGGACTAATACTAATAGTTTCAAAACTACAAGGACTAAAAACCATCAAAGTTTCGAGTAGGGACTAAAACCAAAATCGTGTGATACTTAAGGGATGAAAAACATATTTAACCCTTTATATATTAATAATTTTGTATTTTATCATTCAAAATTTTTAGGGATGCTTTTGTTATAAGTTATGTATACATATACATATTTATAGATGTCACTTTGTATCAAATTTTCATTAATAAACGTTTTCTTTCGTTTTCTTTCTTATATTATTTCCTATATTATTTCCTATGATATTACAATCACAAATTTATTTCCTCATAATGTTTTTCACTAATTTTAAGTTTTCAATTCATTTTCATCTATTTTTCATTTATTATTTTCTCACACCTTTACCATTATAGTTAACATTAAATTTGATAAGGATAATCTGTTGATCTCACAACATTAAATGTTCACTATAGTCAATAGCCTCCAATTCTTGAAGTACATTGGTGGTTTGTGCACTCGTCCCAACTATCTTAGTTTTGAAATATGGACTCACGACACCATCAACTCTTACTGTGTTCACTACAAACAACAAGATAACCTCGTTGTGACATGGCCTATATCATCAATATATACAGTTTTGCTTACAAAAGTGGTAAGCTTAAATACTTATTGCAAGATTTGACAAAAAATGAAGATCTATCATGCTAGTTAGCCTAAAGCTAAAACCAAGAAACTTAAAACACAACTCAATAGTTCCAAAAAAGAACACTTCATACCTGTTTATCTTCTTGAAATAAAGAAAATTGTTGATTGTTAGAAGTCTCACATCTACTAGAGATAAGGTCAAACTATAATATATAAGTGAGGTGCAAACATCACCTTACAAGCTAATTTTGTGGGGTTGAGTTAGGCTTTAAAGTCTACTTCTTAATATGATATTAGAGCCATGGTTAGAGCCTATTGTCAACACCCAATTTCGTCCGGGTGACTAAATAAAATGTTTCTTACTTTTTGCTTTGTTTTATTTTATCTCATTTTTATATCTTTTCATCATTTTGTTTCATTTTATACTATTTAATTTTAATTTAATTTTATTTTGTTTTATTTAATTTAATTTTATTTTGTTTTATTTAATTTAATTTTATTTTATTTTTATTTTACATTTTATTATTTAGAGTTATTTCGTTTTATTATTTTTATGTTAGTTTCTTTTTGTTGTTTAAGTTTTATTTTATATATATATATTTATATATGTTTTCTTTAGTTAAACGTTAAAAAACAAAAAATCTAAGAAAAAAAAAAAGAAACAAAAAAATGAAAAAGGTCAACTTTCTCTGCTTGCTTTTTTTCATGCCATCTCCCATTCTGGTGAAATCTTCTGCTCGCCATGCATGCTGCACTGTCTTACGTGAGCAGAACAGAGTCTGTGGCAGGAAGCAAAGCCAGACTTTTGACTCTGAGGGGTCTGAAGCACGAAGAGGGGAGAGGGGAATTTCAACTATTCTGACCTTCAAAAACCAGCCTCTATCTGTCCAGCTTCGGGGGGATTAGGGGAACCGAGAGAAAACACAAGATCGGGGGAGATAGGAGGAAGGAGTATAATCGGGGGAGTAGAAGGAAGAGAAATTTGATCAGAGGAGGAGAGGCACGAGGAACTACAAGGGGAAAACGTAAAAGGTAAGTCCTCATCCTTCAAGCTTCAAGCTTCGCTGGTCACTAGCGTAAATGTTACAATCTTGGGATCATAGTATTGTTATTAGCTTGCATTTGATTTGATGATGCTTGGTTTGGTTTGTCTGATGGTGTTTGAATTAAACATAGAAATTATATTGAGAGGTTACTTTGCCTGTTACGTCTGGTCTGGTTCTGTCACCCTTGTTTTCTTGTTTTCCATTCATCCATCACCAACGTAGACTCTTTGGCCAGCTTCGAACCCACCATTTCCCCATCACGTAGAACTCCATCACTAACATCACTCCAACACCATAGACATGGCTTTGCTGTATCCCATCACCTGAAAACCAGAAAACCAGAGAATCAATTGCAGCAACCACATTCAGATAATAAGTCTCTTTGCCTCCATTCACTCGTCGGATACCCCTTTCACCATCCAGATTCACCCACGGCCATGTTTTGGCACTCACGGCTACTACCAACACCCTTCCAATCACCTTTTCCTTCCACTCCCAATTCTCACATCCTATTCGCTTTCAAGTACGAATCCAGTTCTCAGCTTCATTCATCATTTTCTCATAATCTAATCAACACACAAAAAATCCAGTATCCATTCACTTGCATCCAGGAAAACACGTAAATAATAGCGTAAGCAGGAGCACCAAGGTAGGAAAACAGAGAATGGATAAACCAAATCCCAAACTAATCAGTACATAAAAAGTTGAGAAAAGAGAAGGAAAAGAGAGGGAGAAGCGTGACACCGGCGGCGCCGGTGAGGAAGAGAGCTCGACGGAAAGCGGCGGCCCTGGCTTGGTGGCATCGGTAACTTTCGACGGCAAACGGTCGGTGTCTTCACAAACGAGAAGGTTTCTCTCTCGCAAAAAGAAGAAAGAGAAGGGGAGCCTGGCGCCGTGATTGGCGATGATCCTGACAGCGGAGAGTGGCGGAGGTGCGAGCAGCGGTGTCGCCGTCCATGCTTCGCGATGTCGAAGCTCGCCTCCCGAGCGCATAGAGGGAGAAACGCCGCGATGTGTGGCGGTGCTTCCAGCATAGGTGACGTCGCCGGCGACTTTCTCGACCGGCCACGGTGACGCGCGGCGAGCTGGTCTTGTGGAGAGTAGATTGCTGCCGCGGATGATGAAGAGGAACCCAAGCTTCCTCCGCTGCTGGATGGGAAAGAAACCCTAATGGTTTCTGATGTGGGAACGAAAAGAGGCTTTGGGCCTGACCAACAAATACCTAATGGCACCCCCCAAATTTCATCTACGCACCCACATCTCCAATTGGGCCTGGACTGTTATATTCCTGGTTTTCTCTACGTTCCCACTCTTATTAGACTTGTGTTTTCTTATTTTTATTTTCTTTGTTTATTGTTTCGATAGTTTTAATATTTGTTTTATTATTGTCTGTTTGCTATTACTCTTTTGTTAGTAAAAATACCAAAAGTACAAGAATCATAAATAAAAACGAAAAGGTAAGTACGAAAAAATAAAAATATATAGAAAAACCACGAATATAGTTATTGCATTAGCATCTTTCTTTTTAAAAATAGTTATCGCGTTAACATCTTTCTTTTTAAATATAGTCATTGAGTTAGCATCTTTCTTTCTAAATATTTTTTTTAGTAAAATAAACAAAATGTAAAATTACGAAAATGGCTCTGCTTTTAACATTTAGCAAATACATTTTTAATTTATTATTTGTTGACTTTTTAAAGAAGTCCTTATGTAAATAATTTTGTTGTTTTAT